TTAACCCTAATAACAGTTCGAAACAAAACGATGAAGACAGAGATCGACGGTACAGTGATTAAAGCGAAAGGTAGCAAGAATCAAAAGACAGTGAAAGAGAGAAGAACAAAAAAAGTAACGAAAGCCAAAGGAACACATAGACCCATTAAATAAAGTTGAAAAAGGTGAGATTTTTACAAGTTCAAACCAAAACCCATGTAGATTCAACAGAGAAACAAGCGGGAAGACAAACAAAAAAAACCTAGAAAATTCGTTAGAATGGTAAAGCTTTCATACACTAGAAACCTCCCAAATTAGAGATACGAAAGCGAAGTGAGATATTCCGTTGTAAAAAAAAATCAAAAAAGTGAATGAAGATGCCGAAACATTGAATACCCAGATCTGGGTAGAGTAAATCAAAAGCGGAAACTTTTAGGGTTTTCCTAAAAAAGAAATTCAAAAAAGTATACAATGTACCGAGAATCGTCTGTGTTTGTTCTTCAAAACGTTGTCTTTTTTTCCTGGCTACTCTCGCCGGAGAAGTGACCTAAAAAAACCAAAAAGTGGTTACAGTGAGAATTTACACTCTTCACCGTTTTGTAACGTGAGAGAGAGAGAGCCGGAACAATATTCGAGCGAAACGACAGCGTTTAAGCTGTGTGTTGATGAGTTTTTAATAATGGGCTTGGTTAGTGGGCTATATAGGTGGTATTAGCCCAGTTGAGGATTATATTCTTTACTGAAAATATCCTTCTTTTTTTGTTGGATTAACGGTTTATTTTTATTTTCTTTAGAATTATGGCTGTCATTATCGAAGTAGTTAGTCCGTTAATTCATGTCTTTGAAAGTTATTAAATGTTTCTTAATTACGTGTCTCTTTATTAGATGTTCTTAAAGTCATTTTTCATTGACAAAAAAGAAAAGCCATTTCATTTTCGTAGTTATTTAACAAATGTACTAACATAAACAGTTAGGAAGATGGAATATTTTGGACCTAAACGTTTTACAAATAGATGGGCTTAAAATCACACTTTTGAAAAGCATATTAAGCCCAAAATCACGTTGTATGTGGATTTTTTTTTTTCCTTCCGTCTACAAAACTTTATTGATTTCTAGTCAAGAATACAAAGTCAATATACAAAATTTTCGGGATATAAATTATTAGGTAAACAAATATATACGCCATATAATGAGTAAAATATATAAAAAAATAAATTTAATGATATTTTCCGTAGACAAAAAACACAAAAAAAAATTTCTTATATATTACCAATGGGTTGATTTAGTTAATAACCAAAAAAAATATTAAAACATAATAATTAACCAAAAATCTTAAAATTAGTGGCTATGATTAGTGTTACAGGGTTTTGCTTTGTTATTATGTTTCAAATTTTTTTGGTTATACTTGCCAATTTTCCTATTACCAATTTGGTGTTGGATTAATTATCTTTATTAAGTTTTTTTTTTTTGAGAAAAAAATATAAAATGATTTTGTTCACATTAAATGTTTTAAAGATTTTTAGTTTAGACTTTTGTATGTTTTTAGAAAAAAGAAATCGTGAAAAGAAAAGAAAAAAAATCGAAAAACATAACACAAATGCTTGTTGGGGAAAATATTAAATGATACTTTCGCAGTGACGATTATTCCAAGGCCGTTGCATGTGCTTCATCATCTAAATTACGAGATATCTTAACACTATCATCAATAAAAGTAGAAATTGTA